CTAAGTATCCAAGCGATACTTAAAACAAAACATAAAACAAAACCAAGTATCAAAGTGATACTTAAAACAAAACATAAAACAAAACCAATAACCGAGTACCTGTAACGTGTTCGCAAGGTGCTAATCACGTTATCGGTATTAGATACGATAGTTGGCAGGTGGCCTGCTCTTCCTGAGAGGAGGCGAGAGCTGAGAACTAAAGGAGGCTTCGAGGGTGTACTGGGGAACAAAGAAGTAACCGTTCAACCAAGTATATTGGAATACTGTCTGTCGAAGTCTGCCTTTTCTATCGTAGAAACAGGCGGTCTTTAAATACACAAATCTGTTCATGTCTAGCATGAACGAAACTAATCAAAGGTATCAATTGATACTCTTTGGTAAAACTCCTTAAGTATCAAAGCGATACTTAAAGCAAAACATAAAACAAAACCAAGTATCAAACGATACTTAAAACAAACCAAGTATCAAAGCGATACTTAAAACAAAACATAAAACAAAACCAATAACCGAGTACCCGTACTGGTTACAGTACCTGTACCGGTTACATATGGCAGGTCTGGAATGTATCATAGTGGCTTGTAAATAAATGCTGGTACAGAACATTTATGACATCTAGAAGATTGCTCTAATTTTTGATGTTTGCGTATGTGCCTTCTTTGTATTACTAGTGTTACTGTAATAATTGAACAGACAATTGTGTATCATAACATCTGTATAAGATTAACTTCAGGTTTTAGTAGAGTATATCAGTTGCATATTCAATGATGACAGATTTTCTGTCATCATTATTGGTACATGTTTTCGGTAGATAAAGAATGTTACATCCTTAACCATGATAGAGTTTCTTCAGGAACTCAATCATAGCATCAGTTTAATTATCTTGCTCGCTTTTCCTTCCTGTTGTGGTAGGATTATGTAATGCCACTATTATTGATCTTTATTCCATCTTTAATACAGCACATGCCAAGTAAATTACTGTGTTATTCCCTTTCCCTGCAGCATAAATAGGGACCTATAGTCTCTATTAATCAAGCAAGCAAATAACCTCAATCAAGAATTACAACATAGGGGAGGCCCAAGAGGGCAAGTGATGTTTGATGTTTTGTTCTATTCTTTAATTAATTTAGTATTGGGCTGCCAGATCATATGTGATATGATAGGATGGAAAGTCTTCTTGTTCATCTCAGAAATAGTTAATGTTCTATCTATTTGGCTCCTAACAGGGCATAAATCACATCCTACAAGATACTTAGAAGTTATCATTGCATATGGAGATATTCAAGTAGGTACTAGCAAATCTAGTATGATGTAAAAATAAATAGTTGGATAAGGAAACTGTAATAGGTAGCAAATCTGCTACCAGCTATGATATAATTCAAATAACAAACTAGCATGAAGTTAGTATATAGTAGCAGTCAGAATCAGATTCTCTTAGGAGCATGTCTTATGAAACTAGTATTTGCTAGTGTCATTCTACTTGAAATATCAATCGATTAAAGAACTCTTCTAAATTATCACTATTATTCTCTGATCAACTAATCAATATATTGGCTTCAAGCTATTAGGATTTATTTCTACTGACCTTGTAACCGGTACAGGTACTTGGATATTAGTTTTGTTTTATGTTTTGTTTTAAGTATTACTTTGATACTTGGTTTGTTTTAAGTATCATTTGATACTTAGTTTTGTTTTATGTTTTGTTTTAAGTATCGCTTTGATACTTAATTAGTTTTACCAAAGTGTATCAATTGATACCTTTGATTAGTTTTGTTCATGCTAGACATGAACAGATTTGTGAATTTAAAGACCGCCTGTTTCTACGATAGAAAAGGCAGACTTCGACAGACAGTATTTTAATATACTTGGTTGAATGGTTACTTCTTTGTTTCTCAGTACACCCTCGAAGCCTCCTTTAGTTCTTAGCTCTCGCCTCCTCTCAGGCTTCCTGCCCTACTTAAGCTACTGTATTGCGTGTTTCACC